CCTACCGCCTCCCTGTGCGGCGCTCTCGCCAGCTGTCCACTGGCCGCCGGGCGTGTGCCGCCCCTCGAGCCCTCGAGCCCCCACGGCCAGCCTGAGCACCGACTGACCGGGCCCGCTCTGTTCGCAGGAGAGCCCCAGCCCCAAGGAGCTCACCCACAACCCGTACGTGATCCCCAAGGAGCTCTGGTTCATGGTGGATCAGCTGCAGAAGGAGGGCATCGGCAAGGACCTGTTCGCGCGCAGCGGCCTGCCGTCGGAGGTGCAGCTGATTCGGGAGGCGCTGGATACCACGCTGCCGGAGACGCTCCGTATCCTCACCGGCGGAGGCGCGCGCTGTCGGGGTGTGCACTTCTGGTCCGTCGCTTTCTCAGCTGTCTCGCCGCTTTGGTGTTGGTTTCGCCATTCGTCCTGTTATCAGCCTTTGCTCTCACCACCACCCTTGGTTTTTTGGTGGCCCTCGTTGCTCTGCACTTCGTTGCGTCAGCGCTTTGGACGTGCTCTCTGACCACCCTCAGGTTTTTAGTGTCTCTCGTTCCCCTCCACTTCGCTGCGTCATCACTTTGGATGTGCTCTTTGCCCTCAGCATCCAGCGAGAGAAGGATTCATTAGTGTGCGGGCGTGGTGTTCGTCCACACGTTTAATGCGGTCGCCGGATTTAGTACAAATTTAGATGCAGCGCAAGCTGCCTCCGGCGCCGCTGCGCTCGCGTAGAGCCTCTGATGCCCTGTGCCCATGGTGTCGCGTGCGCCTCGCCAGCTGTCGCTGTGGGCGCGGTGGGGCCTCAGCGGCGTTCATGCGCTCGCCGTGTGTGTGCTCTGGGAGGCGGCCGTCGGCGGCCGGGCCTCCTCCCGTGTGCCGACGAGATCTCCTTAACGGCGGTGCAGCGGGCAGCATCCACTCGGTGGCCGAGGCGCTGCTGCTCTTCCTGGCCAGCCTGCCCGAGCCGGTCATACCCAGCGACTACGTGGTGCAGTGCATGGAGAGCTCCGACAACTTCATCCAGTCCAAACACGTGAGTTGCCGCCGCGGCCCTACCGGCCGGCTCGCTGCGTCCGGCGCGGCGCTCCAGCTGCCGGAGCGGGCGCCAGACAGTGATCACGGCCCCCGCTGCATTAGTTCGCTGTGCTTGTCGCAACAGTCCTGGCCACGGATGCCGAGGCGTTGTGCAACGCTGTCGTGTCGGTTTCGTCGCGTCACCTGTGACGATGTTGGTGCGCATGGCGCGCCGGCGCCTGGCGTCATCAGCGCACGTCCCTCGGCCGTGCGGGTGGCCCTGGCCAGCCCGCGTGGCCGACGACTGTGAGAACGGCGCGCGACGGGCGCGCCGCCATCCCGCCCGTCTGACGGGCAGTGGCTCCGTCCTCATCCTCAGATCGTGTCGCAGCTGCCGCCTCACCACAAGAACGTGTTCACCTACATCTGACACGTTCCTACGCGAGGTGGTGACCAAGGCGCCCCGGGACGGCGGTTTGGAGGCCACCGCACTCGGTACGTATCTCGGAGTCAGTACGTCATCCGGAACTCGGTACGTTGTCCGGATCGGTGCACCCGGGAGTCGGTACGTATTCGGAGTCAGTACGTCATCCGGGACTCGGGTACGTCATCCGTGACCCGGTACGTCGTCTCGGAGTCAGTACGTCACCCGGGATCGGTACGTCATCGGAGTCAATATGTCATGCGGGAGTTGGTATGTATCTAGGAGTCAGTTTGTCATATCGGAGTCGGTATGTCATCCGGGAGGGAGTGTGTCATCGAGGAGTCGGTATGTCATCTCGGAGTCCGTATGCTACCTGGCGTAGAGTCAGTACGTCGTGTCGGGGCCAGTATTTCATCTCGGAAGCAATACGTCCGCTGAGAGTCGTACGTTCTCAGGGTCAGTACTTCTCTCTCAGACTTCGTATACCGCTCCCATGGTCAGTATGCCCCTCTCACCCGGGCTGGTGCGTTCGTTTCTGTCAGTATGTCCTCAGAGTTTGTGCGATCCTCACGCCCTTCTGAAAGTTGCAAAGGTGAGAGGATGAACTTCACACCCGGCACATTGCTGGCCGGCGGCTGGCCCGCCGTCCGTAGTTCACCCGGTAGGCGGCTAGGTGGCAGTGATGTTCGCTGCGTGCCGCGCCGGCACGGGGCACCACCCGACCCGCGTGCGTCGCTGACCGAGGCCCCTCCGGCAGCGAAAATCTTCGGCGGCGTGCTGATCAGGAGTCCCAGCGCCGCCTGGCTGCAGCGCAACAACATGTCCCTGCAGACGTTGGACCGGCGAAAGACCACCTTCGTCTACCACTTCTTAGTCAACGAGATCGACATCTGAGCGGCCGTCAGGCCGTTTAGAAGGGCGTGTAGACTCAGGAGCCGGGAGCTCGCCGTCGGGGCGGGCCCGGTCGCTAGTACAACCTCGCCGGTCCGGCAGTGTAGCAGTTGCGCTGTTTTTTGTTGGTTGGGTCGGCGGGCGGGCGTTGAATACTCGGTCACTCCACTTCTGCATTCCACTCTGCCGCCCGGGCGTGCTTAGCTTAAACGGTGTTTTGTTCTTGACCCGGTTTTCCGTACTGCGGCTTGTTCCTTCAGTCCGACGTGTGAAGGGAAACTCGCTTGCCTGTTGTCTGGCACTGCTACTTTTCAGCGACCGTGCTGAAACGTTGGTTTGGTGGGCCGAGTGGTGTGCTGATGGCCGTTTCCGCCGCGCTTTGGCTGCCGTTGTCTGTGCTGGCTTCCTAACGTCGCTGCGTGTAACTAACCAGCTGGGGTCCTTCGGGAGGTGGCCCGCTCACGCTTGAGTCGCGCGGCGCGGTGGCGCGCGCTTGGCTCGCCCGTGCCCCGCGCCTGCCCGTCCTAGGCTGCACCCAGCGCGCGCAAAGCCAGAGCTTGGCGGCCGGCTGCCAACGCGCCCCGGAGGCCGTGAGCCCCGGCTCTGAGCGGCCGCGATTAGGGTTGGCGGTGGGCGGTCAGAAATGCTGTGAAGGCGGTGGATACGCTGTATTTTTTGTACGGGCGGCCATGGTGAGACGGACCTGGCCGTCCGTCTGTGTCACAATCGACGCGGCGCGGCGCGGGCGGTGCCGGTGAGCTGACCTCGGTCGGACGGGCGAGCGGCGCCCAGACGGCCCCGCGGCGGTTGTCACACCGCGTGGGACTCTGACGCGGGTCACGACCTCGGGGCCAGGCGCGGCCGTGTGTGGGGACTGCCGAGTGTCTCCAGACGGCCTGCTCTGTCCAGCCGCCCCAGGCTGGCAGAGCTGGGGTGCGGTGTGTGTGTGGATGGGCGGGGGGGGGGGGCACTAATCTGAGCTTGTCGCAGAGCTTGGCCGCTGTTTACCGCCTTCCCAGCGCTAGGCACCAACAGTCGCGTCGCCCGTATCGAGCTCACTCACAGACCCACTCACAGACGACGGCGAGCGGCCTGAACGCACTCTCCCCGCGCCTCGTGAACCGTTCGCTGTTGGGGCGGCCCCCCGCCGCCTCCAGTCCGCGACGGGCAGGGCAGCTCGGTTCGCAGCTCGTTTCTCGTCACGCGTTACATTCTGCCCGGCGTCAGCCGCGTGCAGCGGTGACAAGTGAACGGATGCACAGGTTACAGTCACTCGGGCCACAGTGAGCAGCGTGCGCCCGCGCCACGCCGGGCTACAGCGGCGGCGCGTGAGCCTCGGGCCCATAATCCCGGTTGTTTTTCGCGCGTGATTTCACCCCGGCCGTGCTGCACCTTGCAGTTCGGATCTATCGGGTATGCCGGTTGATCTACACATGTTTTTGCCGATTTGGCGTCACGACGAATGAGCAACGCCGGGGGAAAATTTGCCAATTGTACCCGCCAACGACGTTTTATCGCCTGCCGGGACGCGTTGCCTGTATTGATCTAGTCCTTACGCTGATTGCTCTCGGTAGACGCGCCACTCGACAAGGCGTGTGCTCATCGCGGTCTGGTTGCATATATGGCTGGCTGGGGCGTCCTGCTGCACACTGCCGTTTTGTTATAGGTTCTGCCGTGTTGCTCTGTTCTGAACTGACCTGGTGTAACGTGTCGCCGCGTGGGACTCATATCAACGGTTTAGTGTTGTTTTAACCGGACCAGTCTTGGTGTTACGTTGTAGAGGCTGTCGAATGATCATGCCGGAATCAATAAACCGTGTTGTCGACGAGCAGATGCCTGCTCGCGTGAAATCTGGGACAAGCATACGTCTTACTGCAACGTAGCAAAGCCCTGAGCGAAGGACGGTACTTCCATCATTCACCAAGAGCGATGTCGGCGACTGTCAGTCCGCGCCGCGGGCATCTCGGCCCGATCAGGTCCCCGTGGTGTGCATCGAGCGCTCCGCTGTCTGGCTAGGATGTCCCGGCCGGCGCGCGCGGAGGGCTGGCGCGCCTGGTCTGTGGCAGGCTGACCGCCTCCGCGCAGCGAGCTCCATCCGTCTGCCCGTGCGCAGGTCAGCTCATCTTCGACCGGAGGGAAAGACGGGAGACGGCAACAAGAGACCTTTAGAAACAGTCAAATGAAAGACTATAAACTGGGATATTAGGATGTAACATCGGAATCACTGATCTGATGGCGGCGAACACCGGCGCCGGCGCCCCGGGCCGTCGCCGCCTACCATCCGACACGGGGTGGCAACTAAAGTCGGATCCACATCTCGACGGCCGGCCGCGTCGAAGAGGTATACAGCCCGTCTCACCCGCCGGGGCGTTAGTCTGATTGTGCTCACATGCCGACCGGCATCGGAAGCATTTCACCGTCTGGCCGGCGCCGGCGGTGCCCCGCGCAGCCGGAGCTGCTCGCGGCGCCCGTGCCGGCGCCGTGACTCGTGACCGGCGGCGCCGTGACGTCACGGACGTCATCGTCGGCGTGAGCAGGTCGCCCGACCCGCGCCGCCGGCGCACGCCCGGCTACCCCGGCTAACACAGACACACCGCCGCCCGCGCAGGGCCGCCCCGCGCCGGCCGGCGGCGGCGCGCGCCGACGCACGTGGCGCGCGCACCGGCCGCTCACGGGGCGGCGCCGGCCGACGCCGACTGGCGCGCGCAAGGCTACAGCACCCACAGCGACACCGAATGAGGCTGCTAACACCTGCTCGCTGCTTGTGTACTAAATTATTAAAAATCACCAACAATAACAAGAACAGTTAGCGACGAGGCTCGACGGCCGGGATGGGGGCGAGGCCGGCCTCCAGTCACTCGGCCCGGTCCAGGCTGATATTGATCGTTTTAACCTTGCCGCAGTCGCGCGGGATCTTCAGCAGCTGCTCCGGCGTCGCGTCGGGCATGATGAGACACATGAACGTGTTGCCCGTGCCCGTGTCCTTGGGGTAGATGGTGGTGGGCGAGAAGGGCACGTTCTTCTCCGAGTAGGCACACAGCCTGTTGTACACCTCCGGGTAGTCGCGACGCAAGCTGGCACCGCGCGCGCGCAGGTGGCGCAGGATGTTCAGGAAGTTGACCTCGCGCGCGCGCTCCGCCGCCATGTGCGGCAGCGAGTTTGGCAGCGAGATTAGGATCAGCGTCTCCAGCTCGTCGAGCTCACGCGTGATCTTGGGCGACGGCTTACGCTGCGGCGAGCGGCCGCCCAGCAGCGGGCTCAGTTTGAGTTTGGCGCAGCGCGGGATGATTTGGCGCTCCCACTTGGCCGCACCGCTCAGAGGCATCTCGTTAAACACGCAAATCACAATGTAGAGCACGAGGCGCGACTCGGGGTTGTACGCCTTGCACAGGTCGATGATCTCGCGGTAGACGAGGTGGCCCATCTCGCGCGGCAGCAGGTCCTGCCACTTGATGTAGAGCGCCTCGGAGGCGGTGCCGTTCTCCTTGGCCAGGAAGTCGTCGGCCGACTCGGGGCTGGGGAAGAACACCTTCAGCAGACCGCGCCCGTGAGTGAGGAAGCCCTGCCGCGCCGTGCGCGAGAACTCCAGCAGCAGGTTCTCGTCCTCCTTGATCTTCATGATGATCTGCTTGGACATGGTTTGCGCGCGAATGGCGGCGCACACGCGCCGGTGGCGGTCCCAGTGCGCGCGCCGGCAGTCGCGCGAGCAATAGAACGTCTCACAGTTGTGGCACATTTTGAACACGGTCTTCGCCTCGGTCAGGTTGGTCGTCCGCAGGCACATCGAGTTCTTGCACTTGATGGTGATGAACGAGTCGGGCTCGACGCCCTCGTCGCCCTCCTTGACGTCGTTCTCGACGGGCGTGGTGGTGGCGGCCGAGCGGTCCGTGTCGGCGTCGACGTCGGACACGTCGTCGGCGAGGGGCAGCCGGCGGCCGAGCTCCTCCAGCGTCACCTCGCGCCTCGCCGGCCTCGCCCGGCTGCCAGTCGTCGTCTGACACGTCGAAGCGCACCTTGTGGCCGTCGATCGAGTCGCTGAGCCGGCGCTCGGCCGTCGGCGAGCTGACCTGCGCCTGCAGCGAGTCGCCGCTCGAGGCGCAGTTGTCGGTGCTGCCGCTGTGCTTGTGCTCGGCGCTGCCCGAGTCGGCGCTGCCCTTGCTGCCGCCGTACAGCTCCTCCCAGTGCGGCTCCGGCTCGCTGTTAACCCAGGCCACGGTCGTGATGGCGTTGGGCCGCGGCTCGGGCGGCGAGGCCGGCGCCGGGCCGCTCCAGCCCCGGCCGGCCGCCGGCGGCGGTGCCGCGTTCGCCAGGTGCCCGTTCCGGCTGGGCGCCTCCTCTGTGGAGAGACGGCGGCGTTACAGGGGGCCGAGCGGTGGGACACTACACAGACCGCGTCAGGCTCGTCCAATACTGCACGGGCGGGAGGCGTGCGTGGCACCTCAAAACTCATCTATACAGGAGTGGCAGCCCGGGGCCGTCCTCATGCCGAAACTAGGCGGCGCTCCCAACAAGCGCTTCCAGCGGAAGCCACGTGTGTAGTGCAGCACCCGATGAGCAAATTACAGGCACTATTATGCTAAGCTGTGCAGAGTGCATCAATGGCCAGGCTTTATGAATGGGAGCTATGCACCTACGCTGCTGAATCCTTCTAGCGGTGCCGGTTGATTTCACTTACCTCATGTCCAGCGGCGTCCTCCGAGCCAGACCCGTCCCTTCTGCCATTCTGCTGAAGCTCTACGACTGTGCCCCCAGAGGTCACACGTGATCTCCGGTCGGGGCCATGCTTCGACACCCCTCAGTGACAGCCACTGCGCATGCGTACACTACGCCGACGGCGCACGCCCCGCTCATCGGACAGTGCGCCAGGCCGAGGCCGGTGAGGCCGGCGTTCGGGCTCGCGGTGCAGCGCCGGCGGCCGGGCACACCGATCGTGCACAGCGGCGTGCGGTGCCAAGGGAAATACGACGCTCGGCGACGGGCGTTTATTTTCGCGAGGTGGCTGGGGAGGAAGGGGCTGGAAGTACGCCATCATCGCTCGGTGCACGGTGAACGAACGGCATGCAATTAAGACAGGCATTATAGATCAACAGAAGATGACGGGTCGCATGCACAGTGGCAATTTGTGGAACGTCGAAGAGTCGATCCTGGCCCAAAAACCCAAGTCTAACGATGGGCGCGAAATGACTGCCTTGGGCAGAAGCTGACGCAGCAGAAATCTGCGCATGCCCGTATCTTGATACACCACAGTGCACACATGGTTTTGTTACTTTGCTTAAAGCACCACATTCAGTACATTTACTAACACTTCTTATATGCGTGGTGCGTGCTTCATTGTGTACGGCTTACGTAAATCACAAAGAAAAGGCAAACAAGGACAGCAACATGACAAAAGCAATGCGATGCCAACAACAATCATCTCAGCGCATGCGTCCTGCAGCACCGCGCTTCTACACCAGTTCGCCTTGACAGCTTTGTTGGACAATCGGCGAGTCCCCCCGCTTCCCGCCGTCGACAATCACCTGCCCTGCCTCACTGGTGCCTGATCACCGCTTCACCGCTGACCGCTGATCACCGCGTCAGCGGTCAGCGCCAGTCTGCTGCGGCGTCCCAGCGCGCCGTGCCGCCTCCTCCGCCGGCGGCGGGCCGCGTTCAGGAAGCGCGCGCCACGCCCGACTCACCGGGCGCCGACGGCGAGCAGTCGTAGTACCGCGTGCCCACAGCGACGTCTCGTAGAGCACACGCGAGGGTGAGGCGCCCCGCCGCGATCCCTTGCTGCTGGTGGAGCTGCTGCGCCGCGGGCCCCGGTCGCGCCGCCCGGCAACGCCAGCAGCGAGTCCAGCACGTCCTCCACAGTGACGGACGAGCCGCGCCGCGCCGCGGCGCCGGCCGCCCCGCCCCCTGCCGACTCGAGCGCGCTTAGAGGGCGCCACCGACGCCGCTGGCGCGCCGACTCCCGAGCATAGGGAAGAGGCGACGGCATCGTGCGTGGAAATGTGCCCCTGTTTTTGCACGCAGCTGGCGTTACACCCGCCGTGGATGGCCGTAGTTATAGGCTGAGCAGGCTACATTCTCCTCGCTATCGTACACAATATGATTGGCGATAGAATTATAGTGTACGGTAACGGTGGAACGATCGCTTTTCTCATGGGCCTAAATACACCGGACCACAACTCGAGTTGTGGAATAAAACATCGCTTAGCCTGCATTCAGTTTGAAAACTACATGAAGTACGTGTAGCATGAAAAATCGTTACTTACATTCTGAGGCGTCATGGACGTAGATGCAAATAAACATTCGAGGCAAGCAAAATGAACGTGTAAGTTGCTGAGCCACCATTACGCTCTTTGTCAGGCGTGCAGCGGCTATGCGAGCGCGCCTAGACATGTAGCCTCTCGCCCACTGGAGCATCCAGTATGTTGACCAGATGGCAAGAGAGAATGAGGATGCGTAACGAGGCTGTAGCACAGCCCACAGCTCTACCGCGCAAAGGTAGCATGAACAGCCTGCAATGACTCGACCCGCATCTCGAATTGCAACTATTTTGACTGCCAAGTTCACCAGCGCTCCAACTTACAACGAAGGAGCGGAAAGGCTGGGCAAACTATGATTTCAAAACCGCTTGGCGCAACGTGACGCACCATGACACGTCCTCTCCACATGTTAGCCATGAGGCCAGAAACTCGAAAACATGTACCCGTACGGGTAGAACACAGCCCATTTTTGCTAGACATGCTCTCCCAGAGCAAAACATGTCCATCTGATTTGTGTGGGGAAGTGCTTTGTGGGACAATGCACGGCGAAGTAAGTGAGCTGAAACCCCGAACGGTAGCCCCGCACTTATGTACCCGCGGATAAGATGCAGTAAAGTGCCATGGCATCCCGCCATCATCACATGGCCTGAAGGATACTAACATACTTTTCGATACCTTAGATCCCACTTTCTCCGCTCGACTGTCGGACATGTCGGTTATCAGCCGTTGTCTGATCCGATGCCATCTATTCGGCGGTGAGAACCGTTTCCAAAGGCTTTCGGCAATCCATATCTATCACGACATCAGTGGACCCGAAGTTTCGGCACGGTACGCGGGGTTAGTCGCCGCGAAAACTGAATTGAAAGCGTCACGAGTTATCGATATCGATCCACGCTGCAGATCGATTAACATCTTTCACGTACACGGGCTGCTTCTAATCCATTATTAGCTGGACTCCTGGGGTTAGGCCGATAAGAAATATTACGCGTTGCACGTTTCTCTAAAAAGCACTGCATGCAAAAAATGTCAGCCGATCCCATTATCAGTCCAACGCGAAGTAGGGCAAACAGGGACGTGTTCACAGAAGCTATTCACTGCAGAACAGGAATGCCCAGTCACCAGTGAGATTCTTACCTTGCTCACTAAGCCTGCTCGACACGAGCATCAACACGAGACGAAGGTGCTGTCAAAAAGGAAACACACCGCAATAAAGATACCAAGTCGAACCAAAGACCATTCAACTACCCAAATCGTAAATAAAAACCAAGCAAAATTCGGTGCTGCTCTCTAATAGTTTATTAAGTAGATAAATAATCAAATATACAACATAAAAGTGACTCGGACAAAATATAGCAAACACTGCAAGCAAACACAACAAAATAGATCATTGTGGAAGCCATCCGTTATTTCCGCCCAGCATTCTTATCGAACGCACGTATCCTACGCGCTTAACTCTTCATATGATGACTTCCCTATTTAAACTGTACTGAGGAGTGCATCAGGACCACTACATCCGAGTAAGATGAAACAGGAGCAAGATTTCTCAGCAACCACGCTGAAGAATAACATCTTTCTCAAACGGAACATACTCGAGACGTAGGCGTTCTCATATCCCCACAAAGAAGCCAGAGCATGGAATCGAATGTCCGGCGCCAAATCGCCGTGGCGAAGCGCTTCATATCGAGTGGAGACCAACGTCTCATTGAGCATAAAAGCTGACCAACAACGACACAACGGTGCATCGCATGCCAAACGGAGAAGCACATCCAGTGAAAAGGGAACAAACAGACAGCGGATGCTACGAAACCGCGGCAAGCGCAAACGCAAAAAAGCAGGACAAACAAAAACCGCCTCTCAATCGACAACTAAGGAACACATGCCCCAGCTCAGCGCGACTCAAAAACAGTATTTACAGAGAAACACCAAGCGCGGGTCGACGGCCGTGGATCAATCACTCGGCCCAGCTCAGGAAGCCCCGACTAGAGCCCAAGCCCGGCAGCGGCGCGTGCGTCACACCATCAGCAACTCACCGAGCTCGTAATGGTCGCCCTTGGCATCGGAGCGGGGCGGCGGGGCGCTGGAGGGCGGCGGCGGCGGGGCGTCGGCCGGCGCCGGCGAGCCGCCACCGCCCGCCAGCGTGTCGGTCAGCAACGGCGACGGCCGCCTCCGGCGTCGTCGGCTCGTCCGTCGGCTTGGTGCCGACAAGAACGCCGTCTCCAGCCAGACGGGCCGCGCCCTGGACGGCGAGCCGGACCGCGAGCCCCGCGCGCCGGCCGGGCGAGCGGTGCCGCGGCCGCGGCGAGCCAGAGACGGCCCATGTCACTCACACTGCCGCCGTTGGACGACGCCGTCGAGTCAAAGTAATGCCAATATGGCGCTGGTTCCACGCTCCTTGATCGAGCTTGGGCACGGTCCAGGTCGGGCGGCTTGGCGTCGGAGGCCCGACCGAAGCCGTCTGCTGCCGGCCGTGGCGGGTCGCGCGGTTAGGCTTCAGCCGCGCGCCCGCTCAGGTTGGCCCTCACTGCGGTTGCCGTCCGAAGGGCTGCTGGCCCAGCCGGTCGAGCCGGCTGTCTGGTAGCCCTGGGCTGAGCCGCTCCGTGCTTGCGCCAGCCCAGGTAGGCGGGCCGGTGTCCGAGGCTGCGGCCGGTGCCGCCCAGGCTGCCGCCGGCGCTGCCCGGACGGGGCTTCTGCGTGCCCGCTGCTGGTCTGCGAGACGCGCGCCGAGCCGGCCCGGTACGTGGTTAACGCCGCCGGCCGTTAGTAGAGGCCGCTGCGGTCCGCTGGGCGCGGCGAAGGCGGCGCCGGAAGCCCGGACTGGTGAGGCCGCTCCCAGCGAGGTGGCGCGCACGGTAGCGCCATCCGGGCGCCGCAGCGCGCGTCGTGGATCACCACCTTGGACTGGGCGGTGGGCCGGTGGTGCACCGGCTCGACTGCAGGCTCTCCTTCGACGTCGAACTTGGAGTTGAAGCCGGACCAGCCGCCTGCGGGCAGAGGGGGAGGGGTGGCGTGAGAGCGGGCCCAGCATGTGGCGTGCCGCCGGCTAATGTCTATCACGGGTGCAGGTGGCGTGGTGGTTGACAAACCAGCGGCGAGGAGAAGTGGGTCGCGGGAGAGTCGTACGTCGCCTCCAGGCCCAGCCCACACTAGCCACCAGCCTTAATCGTTCCAATCAGAATGGCCAATCAAAACAGTAGCCACGTCCATTAAAATCGATGAAAAAATGGATGGTTCTTAGCTAATACATCAAATAGCGAACCTAGGGGCTTTCAAAGACGGCGAGCCTGAGCTCACAACCACGAAGGCTTGTAACAACAAGAGAGATTTTGAAGCAGAAGTGGCAAAGCATGCATGCTCGATGCACAGACCCGCCGGTAACTTCTGGAAGGCGAGGCGGCGTTGCCACACTAAAACCACCTCCTGCCACCAAGTTTCCTGTCCAAAATTGCAGCCGGAATGGTGGTCATGAAAGCTTTATACGCGCGTCGTAAAGACCAGCCTGCCGCCTGGGCGCCGGCTGGACGGTCCCAGAC